CCTGTTGATCATCATGTTAGTTGTCATGATGACCTTTGTTATTGCGTAATTTCTTTTTCTATTGCGCAGTTCCATTTCCTTCTTTTCTATTTTCCCCAGATCATTTCCTCAATCTGTATTTGTGTCTTCGTTTTCTTATCTTTTCTCTATATTTATTCATTGGTATATATTTATAGTCCATATCAGGTAGGACTCTTGATGTGAGTTTCGTTTTTATTTACATCTGATCACTAGGTCATCTATACAGCATACGATATATTCGGAGATTGGAGATTTCGTTTCATCTCCTTATACAACAGACTCACAAATATTTGTTAAAAACATCGTTTTAATGCTATTTCATGTGCATATGGATTAGCCTTTTCAAATAGATTCAATAAGCTACAATAACGTCGAGACTACCTAGATACACCATTTCATTTTAGCACTGTTTTCAAAAAATAGAAAATGAAAAATGGGCTATTGACTAACAGGATACATAATCAAAATAGTGAACACAGGGATATGATTACTTTTTTGCCAGAGAAAAACAATAACAGTAGCGATTAACATTCGCTTTCTTGCTTCTATCTTTTTACAAGGCAGATGTTAGCGTTAGCATCATTTTTTTTTGTTTCCATGTAAATGAATCAACATATTTTAAGAAGGCCAAAGTTTTAGTAATGTGGAGAAAATATGAGAAATAGAAACGACTTTTTCAAAAGGAAAAGAAACCTAAGCTCCATCGTTTTGGATTACATTTAATTTCAAGTTGTGTCATTTCTAGATATACACCAAATCCAAATAATTTACGAGTTTGGTTCACTGATTGAAGCTGGAATTATGTTAAATCGAAATCCTTCCGGTATTTGAATTTTGAGTACAATTTGTCTGAGATTGTTGCATTTTTGTCAATATATCGATATGTTCCATACCTAACCGTAATTTACATACCGATGTATAATCGCGGCTCGATTGAGTTTTAACTTTCATCGCTATCTGCATCGACCTACAAGTAATAGAAATCGCATTATTTGGGGCTTTTATCATTAGATCTGAAGCAAAAGTCAAAGGAAACTACCAGGATATATGCAACAAAGCATATGTCGATTCAAAATTGACCTACAATAACAGAATGGTGGTAAATAAACGATGTTCGTTGAGGCTCAAACACTTTGTCCTCGACTGAATTATTTACTCAAGCATATGCCTAGAGAGACTCCTGTGATTTTTTCATTTATGAACACTTGTTTTTTATCAAAACAATAATAAATGCTGTAGAGTAAGATGCGATTGTTTATAAATCTTGAAGTTGAACGTACACGATTGTATGCATTTATATAATAAGAAGTGTCACAGGGATCAGTTAGTTGTTCGTCAGTTTTCGTTCTATCTTTTACCTTTCATCTTTGATCCTTCCTCATCTGATTGCTTATATTAATCTTTCAACGGATCTTGCAAAAGAAATTTAGACTTTTGATTCTAACAAACACATACAAATTTCCTTCATACAATTCTTTTTTTAATTAGGGAAATCATATTCTCCGATGAAATTCTTTTATTTTGCACGAATATGTAATTTAGTTAAAGCTGTTGTCGATATTGAAACAGATATGATAACAATTAATAATGTACCTATATTATAAAATAAGAAAGTATAATCTTGCTTTGATAATAATAAATAGTTAAAAATATGTTATTATGAAAAGGACCACGTGGTAGGAACATCGAAGGTGAACTTATAATTTAAATAGTTATTAAAATAAAATAGGAGATAGATTTGTCTGAAATGTAGAACTATCGAGTTGTATTATCATTGAAAAAGTGTGCGCCTTTGTTTCATATGTACATATAGTCCTTATTTTTGCTTGGCTTAATATTATGATGGCGAAATTCAAAAAACGAGTGTCTGTAAATGAAGAAAATATTTTGAATAGCGCTTCCTAAACTACCGAAGATGCAAGTTTACACTTTGAAAAGGTCATGAAAATTTAGTTCATGTTTTTAAAAAACTCAATTTACTTTCCTTGAAATAACAAGTCATCTTGATTGTGACAAACAATCGCATGCAGGTATGTTCATGTACATAATTCTATGTAATCATAAATTCAAAAATAAGGGGTGTCCCAGGAATAATGAGTCTATCAGTATTTTACCGACATCTGTGTCAAAATCCATTCATTCGGGACAAGTTTTGTTTTCAAAAGATTTGTCTTCTCATCCTCTACAAGAATCTATATTTCAAATTTTATTCAAACGTATATTTTCCTAGGCATATAATGAAAAGTAAACATCTTCAACAAGTAGTTTCTCGTAAATATGAAAGTGGTGACAATCCTACCGAAATCTTCCGTGATTTAAATGGTTCGTTAGGATTAATCACCATAAAAAGATGGTGTAAGATGATCCATGAGACCGGTTCCATCCAGCCATTAAAACCACCTCGTGGTCCACGTTTTGCTTGAACCAATAAAACGATTAAAAAAATCAAGCACCAACTCGACCAGAAGAAGATAGTATCGGTTCGAAGTTTGACTAAGAATTATCCTATATCCAAAGCAAGTGTACATCGAATATTAAGGGAAGACTTTAAACTTCATGCCTACAAGATGGCCATCGAACCAAAACTTACGGAAGAACACAAAACCAAACGAGAAAACTTCCTTAATAGGATCGGTAATAACTTTGGTAAAGAGGACACGATGCGTATCTTGCTTTTGGATGAAAAAATGCTTGATCTCGACGAAATATATAATTCCCAAAATCAGCGTATTCGGGTTGCTAGTCGAGATGAAACAGAAATTTTGGCAAAAGATTACGGTCTGGTTTGGCGTTTGCTACAACGGAGTGACACCATTAGTCATTTTTTTACTAAGGGACAATGAATCATGCTAGATATATGCAAAATGTTCTTCCTATCGCACTTGAATATGGAAATAAAGCCTTTGAAGAGCATTGGCCACCGATTAGTACAGGCTTAAATCCAGTGGACTATTGCATTTGGGATGAATTTGCGCAATGCGTGAACTTGGAGAAAGCGACATCAAATTCCACATTAATTGATGAATTAAAACGTGCTGTTAATAAAATTCGACATGATGCTGTCTTACAAAGTTGCCCACCTTGGACTATTCGTTTACAGCGTGTTTTAAAAAATGGTGAACGTTATTTTTTTTTAAATGTCGTTTTGTAGAGTTTGACAAGCTCTATCTTTTGGAAAAAAAAGATCCTTGAACGAATCAGATTTAATAAATATATCGGCAAAATACTGAGAGACTCATTATTCTTGAGACACCCGCTAGAAATAAATATATCTCGACGAGTGCTAAGAGTGCTTCTTCTTCATGAATTCCGTTTGGCTCGTAAAGCAACCGAGGCAACGAGCAACACATGCAGCACGATGGGCAAAGATGTAGCGTTCGTTCGTTCGTACAGAACAACATTGGTTCCATCGATTCAAGAACGGCAACTTCGAACTCGATGATTTACCTCATACCGGAAGACGACTGCTGGTGGATATGGATCAGAGCCCGAAACGAGGCGGGGCGAACAGTGTCGCTTCGACTTTTAATAATATCAGTATTATTGAGAATTCACACATATTGCTCATTCTTCGATTTTATAGACGACAAGCGCCTAAAATCTTTGACTGCATGGACAGCTTTGTTCGTGTACTCTTTTGTGTAGTTTCACTATTAAATCCTATTTTGTTTAACTATTTATTTATAAACATAATCTCAATTTTTTGTTCAGATGCCTGTGAACGGTATTTAGATTCTGATTTTCTTTCTCTAAAATTCGATGAAGCATCTTGTAGTTTTTTCTCACACTGCAAAATCAATTGCAACACTTTTGAAAGATAATAAAGATGACTATAGATATCTAAATGATCGAAATAAAAGATCAATATTACTCTTTTTTATATCATTTTTATTTCGTGTTCGGGTAGCAGATGGGCATCACTTTCAAATTATTTCAGGATTTATATTTTGTCTTCTTTGCTGACTTATTAGGAATTATGAAATCAAGCAAACTAGGCAGATAAAAAATCTAACACACTACACACTGAAAGTTCCAGAAAACTAAGTAGGTTATATTCTTAACCTTAGTGCTACCGACTGGAACCATTTTGACCATAATAATAAACGTAACAACGAAGTTTTATCAATATTTGACGCGTTAGATTATCTATGTGAATGAAGTGAAGGCTACGTTTGATCTCTTATTTGAAATCGAACGCTTCGATATGGAACAGAGATCTGAAGAACGGAAGATCAGCGATTTTTAGATCGAATGAATGATTCTTAGACGCAATAGGTGTTCATAAATAAGCTTATTCTAGAATATATATTCGAACCCTTACAAACTGGAAAAGAGTTTGGTAGCATTAGGGCTAATTAATATATTCTCAGTACTAATTTATGTAACGTCCAAAAAAAGTGAGGCAGCAAAATATTATCTTATTTCGCTCTCTGATATGGAGGGATTAAAGCAGCTTATCGAAGAAGGTCCTCGATTGACAACACGATGTTTAGCAGTGCGACTCGGATGTTCGCATGTTACAGGGAAAACATATCACTATGACTTAGGCAAAACGTTGAAATATGATGTTTGGATGCCACACGAGTTGTCAACCGCATAAGTGACAGTGGCTGGGGGCGGAAGAAACAGGTGTAGCAACGCCCAAAAGTGACCTTCATCCAAAGAAGATTGTGCTGAGTGTTTGGTGGGGTGTAAAAGGATTTATTCATTGGTAACTCCGTCCGTCTGATTGCACCATCACTGCTGATATCTACTGTCAGCCATTGAGCCGAGTTGAACAAAACTTCAGGAGAAGCAAGACAGTTGCTTTTTTGCACGATAATGTCAGACCTCACATTGCAGAGTGAACGCTTGAAAGACTATTGGAACTCGGATGGCTTACGGTTCCATATACGTCTTACTCACCAGACTTGGCTTCTACCGCTACCGACTACCACTTGTTTCATTCTTTGTCGAATGATTTACGTGAAAAAAATTCGACACCGAGAATGACCTAAAAATGAATCGGCAACACGGAATCTTTTCCTTACCACAGCGTTGGCAATAGTTCATAGATAATAATGGAGCATATATCGTTGAATGTTAGTCGTATTTTGTAAGCTAAAAAATAAAAAGGAAAAAATGTCTTACTAACCTAATATAATTCATCTACGTATATACTACATTTAACGTAGTATAACAAAAAATCCAATTTACCACGATTCATCGGCGATTTCCATTTAATAGTTCCTTCGATTATTATCGTGATTAAACATTATTAAATCACCGAATTTTATCAAAAATACGATAAATCACGATTTTACGCCGACTTTTTTGAAAATCACTAAAATCGCGAAGATTTTCTTAGTATGGGCAGTTTTATAACCTATTGTAGTATATTTGCTAGATGAGCTGTTTGTTTTTTTTCTAATGATTATGCCTGTTTGCGAATAGAAATAGGATACGAAAAATGAAATTAGAAAAGCAGTTATTATATTAATCGTTTGTCTTTTTGCTGCAATTGTTCTTTCAATTGCGATGAAATATAATTGCCAAAGAAGATATTCAATTTCTGGAGTATCTGACAAAACAACAGAAACTAGACATTAGAAAAAGATAAAGAGAAAATGAGGATCACCTGGTTATCCGTCAAGCTAGCAGCAAGATTTTGACCACCGGCATCTCCAATTCGATTGCTATTAAGGTATAACCTGACGAGTGTCTATGAATAACGAATAACATAAACATTAGAGAGAAGCGATGAGAAAGTAAGAATCACTTTGTTATGTATTAGACCATTAGCCAAATGTTGGGCACCAATATTTCCAATTTCATTACTACAAAGGTCCAGCCAAGTGAGTGTCTATGAATAGGATGAGGTAAGAGTTCAGAGAGATGAAAAAGAAATAAGAATCACTTTGTTATCACGTAAGAGATTAGCAAGGTATTGCGCACCAACATCCCCGATTTGATTCGATCCAAGGTCTAGGTTAGTGAGTGTCTATGAAAAAAATAGTCAAGTTAGATATGAAAGAGAATAAGTATTACGTCGTTAGCTCTCAAAGCATCAGCAATATATTGAGCACCAGTATCTCCAATCTGATTAATAACGAGAATCAACTCGGTGATTGTCTGTAGACAAAGAGAAAGGCAGATGTAATCGAACTGAGGAAAAAAATACAAACTACTTTGTTATCTCGTAATCCATTTGCAAGGTATTGGGCTCCAATAGCTCCGATTTGATTCTTATGAAGGTATAGGCCGGTGATTGCCTGTGAATAGAAGGAAAGACATGTGAGAGACCTACAGAGAAAATGAGAATTGTTCTGGAGTATCTTATAAAGTATGAGTGAGCTATGGTGAGAACTAAATTTTCTGGAATCTTTGTTTCAAGCCCACCCTCACACTCAATTAGTATATTCATTATGTTTGAATTATATGTGAATTCCGCGACGTTTCTTCCAAGTGCAACCTTACATAAATATACACAATTCTATTGTGTCGCGGCAATCAGAATACGAAGATTAAAACAAAATTCTACTTTAAGCTATCAAGATGATAACGATGAAGTCAATTTTCTTACCGTATTGTTTCGTAACACGTAATATGCAACGATTTCCATGTCTTTATCATTTAAATTGTACTCAGAAACGTCCAATGATGGTTTGTCTTTTCTTCGTTCGATCTCTTTCTCTAGTTCCTTGTTTCGATGTTGAGGAACTGATGGACCCATTGATCTTTGTTTTTTTACAATGATAAATGATGATTAATAAAAGGTTCTTGTTAATTTTTCGTCATTACATGTTAACTTTTCAAAAACCAAGGTTGTATAGTTGTTACCTGTGCTTTTGTTAATGAACTCTCTCGTAGAGTTATGCATTAACAATCTAGCTTTGATAATGGAAATTCGCTCATGTTAAAAGAAAAAGTCCTACTACAGACCGATAGGATAACTGAACCGCACAAAAACAACAATTACATGAGGTACGGAGAATTTTTCTCATATCTCTCGATTTTCTCATTATGATGGAAGACTGTTGCGAACCGGCAAACTATTTGTGTATAGAAATAATCTAGAGTTATATTTCATTTCATTGTTTCTCGACAAAACGATTTGAAAATTTTACATTAAGATTATTTACTAATCAGATAGTTTGAATGGTATTCATGATAAAAATACTTTCATTCAGAAAAATACGATTAGAGAAATACTAACCGAAAATAGTTGAATTGTTACTTCGTATATATTTAATACTATTCCTGTTTTTTGAACCAAATATAGAATATGCTGTTGATTAATTTTTGCAATATTTTCAAAAAATCAATGTCAGTCAGCCATGATAGAATTCGTTACCATGAATGTCGTGGTACTTTTGTTACTAGACTTTCGAGAACCAATGAAAACGTTAGTATAGAGGGAGCCTATATATGGATATACAAACATTGTAGATCGTCAGTCTCTGTAAATCATTGATAATAAGCACTTATCCACAATAATGTTCAATCTTGAATATGAAAAAATATTTCGAATGTACGCAAAACTAAACACTTACTATAGATTGGAAACTTGATTTATTCAAATCCTAAAATTAAAATTAAGTTTCTAAAATAATGGCGTAACTAAAAGGTAGTCAGGTCACTCGACACTTGAGTTTAGCGAATTATTAGATCAAAATAAATGAAAATCATTCAGAACACCTTCATATGCTCAATTACTGGAACTCTGTATTAATCTCCTGTTTACCGACCGCTTTTGGGTTCTATTACTCTGTATCAACTAAACGCATGTGTCATGTGTTATCATATAAGACTTATATTTAGATTTAGAAGAAACTATTGATATTCGTTTTCTACAATACTAGTAACGCTGGTCAAGGCAGAGTCGCTATACCCTCGACTGGCCCACTGACTGAAAATAAAATAGTCTTATGTGCATTTTATGCAAAAAAAAGGCAGAAGTATAACATTCGAAAAGGTCTCCCGAGACTGATCTTCATTCACTTCACAGTCTTCAAAAGATCCAAAAGACTACTTGTGTTCCTTTTAATTATTCGATATTCCTGACTGACAATCACTGTTCACAAGAAGTAGAAATTCTGCATAAATGACTACTATGGATTTGCACTTTTAAACGTGTACTGCTTGTTTTAAAAGAAACATGAATTCAGTAAGATCAAATGAGACTCTGTACAGATTTCGAATCCAAACGTGCCGGATTATTTATACTTTTGTAACTGGCTAGATTACCAGACGCAGCTCCAAAGCTGTCCCTATCTATCATATAATCGCCTGTGTTGCTACTAAAAAGTATAGAATATTAGTTAGCATTCCATCAGTATCTCACAGTTGAGGTTATCTCCTTATTAAAAAGCTTGAAAGCGTACGAGAACATTCAAGATATCGAAACTCAGCATTTTAGATTGCTCCCCAGTATATAACTTGTGAATAATTATATTTTGGAGTTGCAAGCCTTTGATATTCGGTAGGCAACAAAGTGTGTTTTTATTTTTTCGCAATTAACTTTTTTATGTAGCAGCCCTCTCAGTCGCGAATGAAATGATTTCTTCATCGCTGTCACATCCCTGTCCCTTCACCTCTCCCCAACCAACCTTGAGCCCCAGGACCCCTCCCAAACGATTTTTCATGAAGTTTTAAGCATTTTCGTAAAAAAAACAACTTTTTACCTTTGACCCGCGACCCAGAAACCCACAAACAAACAAACAATTTTTTTTCATATGACTCTGCTTTCAGTCGAGGGAATATGAATGAAAAATTGTTTTCTACACATCAGTCAATAATTAAAAATTCCTTTAGAACTATTCTAGACGATTTGAAAGAAGATAGACTAACCATCAAAAGCAGCATTAAAATAATATTCTTCATTTATCGTTAATATCTTTTCTGTTAATAAATAAGTAAGCAACGCAACTCTTACCTGAAATCTTCTTGCAGACTAATAATTGAATAAGTCTGTCTCTTGTACAACATATTGCATATTAATTCTTTGAATTTTAGAAATCTTTCACAATAACAAGAGATACATGTGCTTCAGCTAGGGGTGTCAGCATTCCCCGTTCCCAAGCGTTCCATTCCTGGGAACGGAACGCATTTTAAACTGTATTATATGAGATTTTTTCGAACGTAATTAAGTTGCTGATATACAATTATTTACATATTAAGCGAAATGATTACCCGTTCCCGGAACGGAGAATGGGGAACGCGTGCTGGCGTTCCCATTTCCAGAATGGGAAACGCGATTTGCATTCCCCGTTCTCCGTTCCCCATTCTTGGAATATGGGAACGCAACAGTGAGACTCTGGAATCTTAAGTATTATCTAATTTTAGATCGATGCTTGCGTTCCTCGTTCATGAATGGGGAACGCAGTCTGCGTTCCCGTTCCTGAACGGGGAACGCCACTGAATCTTTGGGTGTTTTTACAAGTAGAAGTCGCATTTCATTCTTCTGGTGGCTAATAAACAACCGGAAGAGGTATATTTTGCAGCGTTCCCCGTTCCTAGAACGGGAACGCAGACTCCGTTCCCGTTCTTTGGAACGGAACGCAAAAGTGACACCCCTAGTGACGATGGCAAAAGTCGGGCTTGTCCGATGTCGATGTGAAAGAATATTTTAAGTCATGTATAAGATTATGCGATGAGAGAATTAAATGAACGACAAGTTCCACATGTGTTTTCGATTCTGAAACATGATCATCTTTATTTATTTGATAGAAAAACGCAAAGATCGACTTTATTGTTGAAATGAGTTCTCTGAAATCGGTAAGAAGAGATTTTTCTATACAGATATTTGATCATGTCGCCAAGAAGGTCCATGAAATGTGGATTCTTTCGAAAATTGCCTCATGACATTTTCCATGGGCCGAGATTCATTTGGAGCTTTCAAGTGATATCAATTCAATTCCTATTTTTTCCTCGCATGAATTTATTTCAAAATTGTTGAAAAATGACTAGTAGGAACATACTAATGCAATGGTTATCATCATATTTGCGTCATCTTTCGATCTGTCTTCAATACCAATGAAGAATATTCATAACGATTCAATGAACAGAAACACTTCAGTTATCCATCAAGCGTATAAGCGACTACCATTCTCGAAAATCTCTTTACCATACAAAAAACAATCAGTTCCTCCTGATCGTATAAAGAACTTCTTTATGCTCAGTAAAAAATAGCCATTCGACAGGTTGTAAGAGATCATACACTAGTTTAACATTTGTTTCTAAAAGAAAAATTTATTTTATCTGCTCAAACAACGAAGATTTTTATTCTCTTAAAATGCAGAATAGCGATTTTACATTGTAACTGTAATGTATCAAGGACTCAACATTTTGTTCATATCCGAACATGGTAATTTTATGTCAATTGGTAGTTCAGTTGATAAATTTTAATAGTGATATAACTTAAATACGGCGAAACGAATAAGAACTCGACTATGTAATCAATAAAACTGGAACATCGCATTGAAACATCTCAATTTTGAAAATCGATCATTGTATGAGAAAAGTCACTGTCCAATGTTATTTGAAACGGTGAAGGAAAATAAATCAACGATTGGAACGCTTTTATTTAATTCTCAATCTGACGGTAGCGTAGAAATACAATCTCCATGAGAAACGCTAATCTCATGGAACTCGAAACATTGAAATTTGTCTTTTATTGGTTTATCCACAGGAAATTTTTGTTGATAAAATCAGAATATCTTTTATGAGGCATTCAGTCTATGATCACATTGTTAAGTGGAAACCAAACGAAAACCAAAGAACGATTATTGCAGGTGGAAATGGAAAAGGAGAAGAATCGAATCAACTGACTTTTCCTAAAGGTTTAGCAATTGATCTTCAAGGGAATCTCTATGTTGCGGATAGTGGAAACCATCGAGTCTAAAGATTTGATTCGATTTGTGAATGAAAAAAGATTTTTGTCTATAGGATATAATAAAAGTTGTAGCGCCGATTCTCTCAGGTTTTACAAAAAAAACCTGTCGAAATTTTATTCTTTACATATTCCGAAAGTAATTTTGTGAGATTTCACAAATTACGATTTCTCGGTGATAGATTTAAGATACGTTGATGTTGTCGAATCACAATGATCTGTATGAAATTTTCTTACTAATACTAATGACAATGCAAAGAATAAACGAAGCTGCATATAGTTTCATTTTCGTGTTAGACGTTTTATTGGTATTGTTTGTTTTTTATTGGAGGATTAAAAAAATTACGAAATTTTCGGAAAGAAAATACAAATACTGGATACTACGTTGATTTCAATTCCATTTTTTTAAATCTCAAGCTAATTAGAAGCTGGGTTGACTCGCTCCTCTCTACTCTAGCGGATTTTCACCCACTCAGTGAATATAATACAATGTATCGTAAGTTACCGTATTCAACTCATGTCAGACCCCCTAGTGCTTCCAGTTACAAATGAATAGCATAATGTCATCACTTAATGATGCAAGAAATTGAAAAGAAAATAGTTTCATCAGATTTCTTTTGAAAACGGTACTACTATGCCATATTTGATTATTTTTGTATTAGTTTTCGGCGAAAATCGCTTTTTATTCACTTCCTACTGGCGCATGTTGCTTTCATATTAATTGCCTGCTTATTTCTCATTCGCTTTAGAATTTTTGTAATACACACACGAATGATATCGTCATTTTTAGTGAATATTTCAAAAGCTGATCGGCAGCTGAGGAAGGTGAACGGTAAGATTTAACAAAANTTCTTAGACGCAATAGGTGTTCATAAATAAGCTTATTCTAGAATATATATTCGAATCCTTACAAACTGGAAAAGAGTTTGGTAGCATTAGGGTTAATTAATATATTCTCAGTACTAATTTATGTAACGTCCAAAAAAGGTGAGGCAGCAATATATTATCTTATTTCGCTCTCTGATATGGAGGGATTAAAGCAGCTTATCGAAGAAGGTCCTCGATTGACAACACGATGTTTAGCAATGCGACTCGGATGTTCGCATGTTACAGAGAAAACATATCACTATGAATTAGGCAAAACGTTGAAATATGGTGTTTGGATGCCACACGAGTTGTCAACCGCATAAGCGACAGTGGCTGGGAGCGGGAGAAACAGGTGTAGCAACGCCCAAAGGTGACCTTCATCCAAAGAAGATTGTGCTGAGTGTTTGATGGGGTGTAAAAGGATTTATTCATTGGTAACTCCGCCCGTCTGGTTGCACCATCACTGCTGATATCTACTGTCAGCCATTGGGCCGAGTTGAACAAAACTTCAGGAGAAGCAAGACAGAGTTGCTTTTTTGCACGATAATGTCAGATCCCACATTGTAGAGTGAACGCGTGAAAAACTATTGGAACTCGGATGGCTTACGGTTCCATATACGTCTTACTCACCAGACTTGGCTTCTACCGCTACCGGCTACCACTTGTTTCATTCTTTGTCGAATGATTTACGTGAAAAAAATTCGATACCGAGAATGACCTAAAAATGGATCGGCAACACGGGATCTTTTCCTTACCACAGCGTTGGCAATACTTCATAGATAATAATGGAGCATATATCGTTGAATGTTAGTCGTATTTTTTAAGCTAAACAATAAAAAGGAAAAAATGTCTTACTAACCTAATATAATTCATGTACGTATATACTACATTTAATGTAGTATAACAAAAAATCCAATTTATCACGATTCACCGACGATTTCCATTTAATAGTTCCTTCTATTATTATCGTGATTAAACATTATTAAATCACCGAATTTTATCAAAAATACGATAAATTACGATTTTACACCGACTTTTTTGAAAATCGCTAAAATCGCGAGGATTTTCTTAGCATGGGCAGTTTGATAACCTATTGTAGTATATTTGCTAGATGAGCTGTTTATTTTTTTCTGAAATGATCATGTCTGTTTGCAAATAGAAACAGGATACGAAAAATGAAATTAGAAAAGCAGTTATTATATTAATCGTTTATCTTTTTGCTGCAATTGTTCTTTCAGTTGCGATGAAATATAATTGCCATAGAAGAGATACAATTTCTGGAGTGTCTGACAATACAACAGAAACTAGACATTAGAAAAAGATAAAGAGAAAATGAGGATCACCTGGTTATCCGTCAAGCTAGCAGCAAGATTTTGACCACCGGCATCTCCAATTTCATTGCTGTTAAGGTATAACCTGACGAGTGTCTATGAATAACGAATAACATAAACATTAGAGAGAAGCGATGAGAAAGTAAGAATCACTTTATTATCTATTAGACCATTAGCCAAATGTTGGGCACCAATATTTCCAATTTCATTACTATTAAGGTCCAACCAAGTGAGTGTCTATGAATAGAACCAGGTAAGATTTCAGAGAGATGAAAAAGAAATAAGAATCACTTTGTTATCACATAAGAGATTAGCAAGGTATTGCGCACCAACATCCCCGATTTGATTCGATCCAAGGCCTAGGTTAGTGAGTGTCTATGAAAAAAAAGTCAAGTTAGATATGAAAGAGAATAAGTATTACGTCGTTAGCTCTCAAGGCATCAGCAAGATATTGAGCACCAGTATCTCCAATTTGATTAATAACGAGAGTCAACTCGGTGATTGTCTGTAGACAAAGAGAAAGGCAGATGTAATCGAACTGAAGAAAAAAATGCAAACTACTTTGTTATCTCGTAATCCATTTGCAAGGTATTGGGCTCCAATAGCTCCGATTTGATTCTTATGAAGGCATAGGTCGGTGATTGCCTGTGAATAGAAGGAAAGACATGTGAGAGACCTACAGAGAAAATGAGAATTGTTTTGGAGTATCTTATAAAGTATGAGTGAGCTATGGTGAAAACTAAATTTTCTGGAATCTTTGTTTTAAGCCCACCCTCACACTCAATTAGTATATTTATTATGCTTGAATTATATGTGAATTTCGCGACGTTTCTTCCAAGTACAAACTTACATAAATATACACAGTTCTATTGTGTCGCGGCAATCAGAATACAAAGATTGAAACAAAATTCTACTTTAAATTATCAAGATCATAACGATGAAGTCAATTTTCTTACCGTATTGTTTCGTAACACGTAATATGCAACGATTTCCATGTCTTTATCATTTAAATTGTATTCGGAAACGTCCAATGATGGTTTGTCTTTTCTTCGTTCGATCTCGTTCTCTAGTTCCTTGTTTCGATGTTGAGGAAGTGATGGACCCATTGACCTTTGTTTTTTTACAATAATAAATGAAGATTAATAAAAGTTTTTTGTTAATTTTTCGTCATTACATGTTAACTGTTCAGAAACCAAGGTTGTATAGTTGTTACCTGTGCTTTTGTTAATGAACTCTCTCGTAGAGTTATGCATTAACAATCTAGCTTTGATAATGGAAATCCACTCATGTTAAAAGAAAAAGCCCTACTACAGACCGATAGGACAACTGAACCACACAAAAACAACAATTATATGAGGTACAGAGAATTTTTCTCATATCTCTCGATTTTCTCATTATGATGGAAGACTGCTGCGAACCGGCAAACTATTTTTGTATAGAAATAATCTAGAGTTATATTTCATTTCATTGTTTTTCGATAAAACGATTTGAAAATTTTATTTTAAGAGTATTTACTGATCAGATAGTTTGAATGATATTCATGATAAAAATACTTCTATTCAGAAAAATATGATTAGAGAAATACTAACCGAAAATAGTTGAATTGTTACTTCGTATATATTTAATACTATTCGTGTTTTTCGAACCAAATATAGAATATGCTGTTGATTAATTTTTGCAATATTTTCAAAAAATCAATGTCAGTCAGCCATGATAGAATTCGTTACCATGAATGTGGTGGTACTTTTGCTACTAGACTTTCGAGAACCAATGAAAACGTTAGTATAGAGGGAGCCTATATATCGATATACAAACATTGTAGATCGTCAGTCTCTGTAAATCATTGATAATAAGCAATTATCAACAATAATGTTCAATCTTGAATATGAAAAAAATATTTCGAATGCACGCAAAATTAAACACTTACTATAGATTGGAAACTTGATTTATTCAAATCCTAAAAATAAAATTAAGTTTCTAAAATAATGGCGTAACTAAAAGGTGGTTAGGTTGCGTTTGGTCAGGTCACTCGACGCTTGAGTTTAGCGAATTATTAGATCAAAATAAATGAAAATCATTCAGAACACCTTCATATGCTCAATTACTGGAACTTTGTATTAACCTCCTGTTTACCGACCACTTTTGGGTTCTGTTACT